GCTGTGTGGATTCCCACAACCTGCAGGAGCTACATTTCTCAGCTGACTGCATCGTACATTAGGTAATTTTAAGTACTTTTTTCTTGCACAGTTAATATACAATTTACTACTTAGTGACTCACTGTGTCAAATTCCTCTGTAGTGTGAAGGAAGCCCAAGGAGAAGCAGGGGAAGTGGAGTTGGCCCAGCAGGGTTAGGCAAAGGAGAGCAACTCTGCATTTTGAGATGGGGTAGTGGTTGTCCAAAGAGAGAGACAGGGTGGAAAGGATGTCCTTAGAAAAGCCCTTCCTTCCTTCCACTGCCACAAAACTAATCTATCTGTTCCAGAGGGTCCAAGAAACTCTGCAGATTAAGCTTCTGCCCTTTGGCTATATCTCATAAGACCAAGTATTTATTGAAAGCTTTCCCAGAACACCTTGTACCCAATCTGGAATTTATAGCCTCTCTCATTTGGGTCACTCCACAGAGGCCTTAGCTCACCCAACCCTTAAAGAATCCTTTTGCCATCTTCTGGTGTGCCTGTCCTGAGCTACTGCATTGGCTGTCCTAGCACACACTCTCCCCAGGCACCAGAGCCCAGGGGAACATGCCAGCACACCTAAACCAACATGTCCTTCTGTTTCCTCACCTGCCTTCTCTTCAAACTACTCACCTCACCTCACCATTACCCAGTGCAAACCACTCCTGGTGCCCTCTGTTAACTACTGGGGCTCTATTAGCACATGTGGTCACACAGAAATAATTAAGTGTCAAAGCCTGGTGGCACTAACAGGCATAAACAGCATATTCTTTCTATTTGAATATCATATAGTATCCAAATGCACCTTTGCAAAAACACTTCAGTTCTAGTTGTTCCTTTGTTCTCTCACAATATTCATACTTAGAATAAAGAGGAAAAAAAGATGGGTTTTCAAGTGACAATTCTGTACAGAGCTGAAAGGGCTTTTCAGGACTAGAAATGGTTTACCAGAGACTCAGCACACTACCACACATGCAGGCTGGACAGAGAACTGGTCTGAAGCAACCCTGCATGGTCAGGCATGGTCACACTAGCACTAGTGCTCAGCTCTGATGAGATACAGGTGGTGTAGGAGGTGCTGCACTGCCACTATCAAGAGATGAAAGCAAAGGTGAAGCACTGACAGAGCACACTGTAAATCAGGTACCCTCCTGCAAACAAAATGGGCAGACTGGCATTTCAGGCAGATGCCTAGAACTCTACAGAACTATTTTCCCTGGTAACTACATCTTTGTGCTGCAGGAAAAGTGCTTAGGAAAGAAAATTCCCAGTATGTTTTGGTTTTTTACACCCTGTCAAAGAAGGCAGCACAAATTTACCTCAATGAATTATATTAGTATATAAAAATCCATATCTTTGTTCCTAGATCCCCCTTATCAATCCATTTAAAAACCAAAACATACACAACCATCAATGCAGTGCATTTATGCACCACGAGAACAGGTGTGTAGGCATGGAATAAAAGGAAACATCCAGAAGAGAAGTCACAGCTTATGGAAGAACTACAGAATTAACAGAAGATTATTATTTTTCTGCTCAGCTGTTTGAAGCCCCAGACTTACTCTACTCAATTTGAGAACTCATTTCTCAGACACAGATGCAGGAAACCCCCACAATTCCTCACTCACCTAACTTTAAGCACACCAAGACTTGGTTACTCCCAGGGAAACACTCAAGTGCTGAAAACTAGCAGAATGCCTGAGTGCTTGGCTGACTGAAGCACATACAGAGCAATGCAAACAACTAATACCAAGGAACTCAATTCTTGCACACAGTCTCATCAATCTTAGTGGAAAAGCAGAACTGAACAACAGCTACAAAATCACATATTTGTGGCAATGTGATAAGACTACTAAAATACAAGCAGACTCCAATCCACTTACCAAAACACTGTGACATTCCCCATCTTCCTTTTCTCAGCCAACTATTACCAAGGCTGAATTTGCTCTCTTGACAGGCCTTGCCTTGCTGTTGGTACTGGGAATTCCCCCCCAGTGTCTTTTGCTTCTCTTCTGTCTTAACATCTGGGTAACATTTGGTGCACAGACAAATCATAGTGATGTATGTAAACAGAGACAAACATACACAGTCATCACCACTAGGAAATCCTGTTCAAATACTTGGAAAAAAAGCAAAAAGGGCTGGTGTGTACTTCACTAGAACGAGGATATTTTAATGCTGGAAAGTCACAGACAGTGACAGAGAATATCAAACGAACAGAGTCCAATAAATTCCTTTCAGGCTTGTGGCTATAACACAAGCACTGGGAGAGCATGAGGATGCTGTGAGAGTAACTACTCAGTTCTGCTGGCAGCTGTCCTGGTGGCATTTGCCAGCTGCTGGCATGTTTGTCCCTTCATTTTAACCAAGCAGAAAGCCAGTGCCTGTTTAACTCCAACATGATAGGACTGCAATTACTTGCAAAGCTTTGAGAGCACTATGAGAGCATCAGTCATATTCCTCCAAACTATCCACATTTTGTGCTGAGAGTTTTCTGGGGTTTAATAAGCCTTTTACAACTTTGTATTGTTTGTTCTCTGAGTCTGAGGCCTTTCAGAACAGCTGTGATCCACACTCACAACTAATGGGAACCAAAGTACAGAACTAACAATAAACAGCCAAACTTACGACACGATACTTGCTGTGGCAACAACCCTTTCTGAACACCAGAAACTCTGAATCAGAAAAAAGCACTGACTGAAGGGCTAATCAATCCTCAGCAGCTGCCTGTTATATCCAGGAAAATTAATCAAACCTGCTCAACTCTGGAAAATCATCCTGGCACAAATAGTCACAGACTGTAAAATCTCACTTCTCAACAAATGATCCCAAAGAGCTGATTTGTGGTATTGGGAATCAGAGGGGAAAACATCCCCTGAAAGGACCAAAGGAGTAAATAAATCAAGACAGATGGAAAAAACAAAGATTTGCAATTTTTGTAGTATTTTGTAACCTCTTGATAAAAAAAACCAACTTCTTATTTGGGTGAGAGAAAATCAAACCTTCTGTTTTCCCTCTCCTGAGGCACAGTTCAACACAAACAGATGTGTTATTACTTCTGAAATCAATCTGGCACAAGGCCAACCCCAGCAAACCCAGTAGGAAAGGTACACCTGAACTCTCTCCAGATCAGTGGGCTCTGAAGCACAGCCAGTTGCTCTGTGCAGCCACTCCTGTTGCTTTAACCCAGGACTCTGAGCTGCCAAATGAACCCATATCCCAAATCTCCCCTCCTCTGTGCACCTTACATGGCTGCCTTGGGGCCTCATTTTCCTTTGGTCTATGCTCAAACCGTAATCAAAGAGGTGAAGGAAGATACTTTGGAAAACAGAAATAAAGTGAGTGGTTAAGAGGTTTATAATAAATGAGAACAGCAAGTAGACAAAGTAGTTTCCAAATACCTAATAGAGGAGAAAAGCCAACAAAGATCCAAGATGAGGATGGTGAATCAGGGAACTGGTTTTGGCTCTGTGAAGTATTGCTGTCACTGTTTTCCTGCAAAATACTTCTGAACCAGTTCATCCACTTATGAGGGTACTCATCTCAGCAGAACTGAAACAACTAATTTCTTCCTTGAGACAGATGAGCTCTGGCCTTGAGAATCTGTCTGCACTGCCACAATCAGCCAAACGACGACTGTCAGCACATGGACTGAACTCTGGGAGGGATGTGGGAACAAGGCACTGCAGCAGGGGTGAGAAGAGCAGTCGGTGGTGCAACTGAATGAAAACAGAACTTGGGACTACAGTCCAGCAGAAGGGAACTGAGGCCCATGGGAGTTTTTGGTGAAACAAGCTCAGAAAGCAAAGCAGACCAGGTGAGTGTGAGGGTGCAGCAGTGCTGCCAGCAGCAGTTACAAGCTGATCCTGTTGGGAAGCTCAGGATTACAGGGAGCTCCAGGGTGCTAATCCCCACTGAAGAAAGATCCTGGGGGAGAGGGGAAAGTGTTTCTTTACAGGGACTGGACACCATTTAGCAAACTTGAGTCTCAGAGAATTAGGATGAGCAATTCACTAATGAGAGACTCTGCACAATTGTTTTGAGATCTTTTTGAGCTAGTTTCCATGTATCCTACAAGCCACAAGCAAGTCAAAGGATGGGGACAGCAGTGGTACCTATCTGTGCAACTGCAGCACCAGGAGGTTTGGATGCAGAGCAGCCTGAGCCTCCTGCCTGCTGCCCAAGAAGCCTTTAGACAGCACCCAGCAACAGGCTGACAACAGCAGCTAACAAACCCCTGGGGAGAAATACAAAGTAGAAACACAAAGCAATCTAAGTAAAGAAATGTATTTCATTAGGAGCACCATGGAAATAAGCAAAGGTATAATATGATGGGTATGAATTCAACACAAGAGATCCAACAAATCATTTGCAGACATATCACAGCTCCTTATTTTTTTGATTACTGACTTTTTGCAACCTTCATCTAAATTTACCACTGAGTGAAGACTTTAACATCTGTCTGGATGATGATATTTTTCTAAGGAACTAGAAAAAAAATAAATATTGAAGTCCAAGCTGTCTTCCAACTTAACAAACAGAAAACTTGTTTTTGTGACAAGTAACATATTAGTAAAGTAGCCATAAAAATATTTTGGAACTTTCAGGAGTGGTCTGAATGTCTCAGTACCAATGACTTCTTTTTGGACATCACGACTAAAGCCTTTTCCAATGCACACACTCCAACATTTTGGCAAAGAAATTCACCATTTGTTTCATTCTCTTACTGTGTCTATATGCAGCATCCTAGAACAGCTAAACTACCTGCACAAATTGTGAGAGGAGAGAATTCCATTCTCAAAACAGATCTTTTTGTAAAAAAACTCCCATGGATCTTTACTACTGAAGAACATAACTTCAATCCTATACCTTATCCCCAGTGAGGCTGAGAACAAACGGATTAAACTAGTCCTGTCATGTGCTTGGAGATGATTATTTCTTTGTGCAGTTTTCCAATTACAATTTGCAAGACAGTATCTTCCACATTTCCTTCCCAATTCCAAGTGACTGACAAACAGTGCTAATCTACACACAGTTATTTAGTTTGCTGAGTAGGAGTGGCAACAGCCAATTTTTTTTTTAATGCACTGCACTACATTTATTTATTTCGAGTTAAATTACTATTAAACTCTTGCTAATTCCAGTGACAACATAAAAACACTTTGCAGTTGTGTATGTGGCAAAAGGCTTTGGTTATACATACCTCTGAAAAGAATACAGAGAGGATGACTAGGCTGATCCAGTGAATTACTCCTGCAAACTGTGAAGCACTTGAAACTGCAATTAACACAACACAATGAAGCGTCATTATAGCAGCAGAATGCAACTCAGGGTTAATATAATTAGTACTGCCACAATTTATATATGGTAAAGCTTGCTGGCTTAGATTTTGGAATGGAATTACCAGGAAGAGGATGGGATGCAATGGGACATGGAACTCCAGCCCTGCCAGCTGCTCACCCTAATTCAGGCAGCTCTTCTTTGGAGCCTGTACAGCTAACACTGCTGTAAGCAGTGACACACAGGGTTTGGGTCTTTGATGCTCTCACTGCTCTTTGCTCTCACCCTGTGAGCTGCTTTAGTACCAGATGTGTGACTAAATCCTAAAAATGCACACCTAAAAATCCAGAGTTAGGATTCAGTAAGGAAACAGAACGCACTACTATCCCCACATTATTCCTTGTGTTCAGTCTTAGACAATTCAGCTCAGATGATCAGTATTTGCCTGGAACAGGTACCTAAAAAACTAGTGCTCAAACTGGACCTCAAAATACATTCCATGCTGACAAAAAAAAAGCAGAAAGCTGACAGGGTCCAGTATCTGAACTGCTGGCGAATCCTACTCTCAAAGTCACATGCTCTGAAGTTTGGAGTAAGGGAATGAAGACAAAACAATCTCTCCTTACTTAAGTGTCTTTTGCATCTGCCACAGCAGACAGATCCAACCAGTCTGTGTGGTCCTGCAGTGTCAAAGAACAACTGTGCAGCAGCCAAATGTAAGGCAATCAATGTCTGTGTGTATAGAGATGGAAGACTGTGGCAGAGTTAACTAGTCCCAAGAACATATAGGGCATACACTCAATAAGCATCTGATTTTTAAATCAAACCCGATTAAAATGGGAAGGAGACAAAAGGGATGTAGGAAGAAATCAGGATGCAAGTAAAACTCTTAGCATGGAACTCACACTGCTGAAGCTCTTCTGGGGCTGGATGAGAGAGTGTGTGTGTGGTGCAGCAGAGGAACTACTGAAAGATGAAACAAATGGGCAAAATATAATATATTTAACTTCCCCAAGACGCTGTGTTTATAGGGCTCATAAAGATCCAGAAGTGGAAACCCTTTGGATGCTGTTTTTGCAGCAGAGGTGGAGGGACACACAAGGCTCCAGCTGCCCCCGAGTGGATAAAAGGGATACAGCAAGCAGCAGTTTGGGCAGAAACCCTTTCTGATGCTGCAGCAGCTGAGCACTAAGGCAGAGGCACAGCCAGGCAGGGTGCGATCCAACCGCCAGGACACAGGGGAGGGGAAAAGCCTTGCGAGCAAACAGCCTTTGCACAGGAGCTCAGTCACTGCATCTGGGTATTTGCCTCTTCCCCTGCAAAAACGCTGTGAAAAGCTCCAAACCACGGAGCAGAGCCTCATCCCTGCCCTGTAGTGGCTCAAATACATCCTTGGGATCCAGTTTGAGGCTCCTCAGCTGATCAGCCTCTGCATTCATCTGGAGCAGAATTTGACATTTGTTGAATTTCTAACATTTTTCCCCTCCCAAAAGCTAAAAGCCAAAATGTTCTGCTTTATTTCACATTTTTTCCTTCCCTGGTGCTATAGGGCAGAAGTGAATGCAAATCCAGGTGCTTTTTAGTGATGTAGAAGGTGGTTTAGGACAGAATGCAGAGTCCAGCCAAACTCAGTTCATCTCCTCACAGTGTATATCCAGGAGGGATGAAGGATCCATCCTGACAAACCCTGAGTGGCCATTACAGAAGTCTGTACTATCAGCCTTTGCTTCCAGTGGATGTTGTTCCTGCTGCTGATGTCCTGGCAGATACACACTGCAAGGAGTAGGGAGGCAGTGCTCACTGCATGGTTTGGGCAGGCCCTGAAGCTCTTCTTACTGAGGCACTGCAATGTGTGTCTCCACTGCACAGCTCTGCGTGGACTCAGCCAGGGCTGGATCTAGCCACCAAAGGGACAGAGGTGGAGCTTCTCAGCTTTGTGGTCTTCAGGAAAGCCTGATGCTTTTTACAGATACACCTGCTGCAGCTGCTGGCAGAGGGAGGGCAATACTAACATGACTTCCAGAGTTGCTTTCCCCTAAAACAAGATGAGGAATGGATAGCATGGTAGGTATTTCTGAGGAGTCATGGTTGGAAACCAACACAGCCCTCCCTTTTCCAAATGAGGTGCAAGTGAGTTAATATACATCTGTTTCTGCATTTGCAGAACATCACAGGGTATTGAGATGTTATTTTGTTAATGCATGTGAAGAGCTTTGAAGATAGACCTAAAAAAGCTGATTATAGGACAGACACCTATAATAAAAGAACTATTATATGTCCCTTGCTTTCTGGGGTTTCTAATTCCAGTATGAATATACTTTGTGCTAAAACACCCTAAAAGGTGTCTGTCCTTTTCATGTGTGTGACCTACAGTTTGCAAATGTGGTGTCCAGCCCAGAAACCAACAGCTCTGTGCATGGGAGAAGTGCACTGAGGAACCCAACACCACACTGACAGTATGAGAGGAAAATGATGCTCTCAGAATGTCACAGCCAAAAAAAAGCACCACAGGTACTTTGTTGTGTTGGTTTTGTTGGGTTTTTTTTAATAAAGGGAGACTCCCTAAGTAATTACAGTCTATAATGTGGATTAGCAGTTGTTACTGTGAAAAAATTGGCAGTGATGTGCTGTAACACATCCTAAGGTACTGCTTGATTTTATATGGAATAAGGAATCCTTTAAAACTGTAATTACGTTTTTGAAAAGCATAATTATGGGCTAATGGCTTTTTAAAACCTTAATGTAAGTGACACACATTCCTCATAGGGCACAACTGCAACACCTCTATCAGCCCCACCAAGACAGCCTTTATCTGATTTAAAGCAAGATAGATGCTATTCAAACTTGGCAAAGGCAAAAGGCCTGATGGGATGATCCATTAGTTAGAATGCAAAGCAGCAACACGAGTGGAATAGGTCCTTGCTCAGGTGCTGAGAAAAGCCAAACAGGCAGGGGCCACTGGGACCAGAGAAGTCACCTGGCACCAAACCTGCAGGGCATGTAAAGCTGCAGAGCTCCTAAGAGTGTCACATGCACCAGACACACAGAGGAGGAAAGCTTCCAAAAATAAAGCCTTCTTTAGAAGATTCTTCAGAAAATAAATGATAAGAGAACAGGTACTTCAGCAGACAGTGCCTTAAACTGTTAAAACTCTATGAGAAATCAACAGTTTTTAAACTCTTTGGCCCTATAGGAAGTGACAATTCTCTACATAAACAGAAAGATGTGACACTCATTTCTTTCTTAAGGACTTACACCCACAATTAGCATTTCTGACTTTTTTTTTCTAAATTCTGGGCTTCCTCAACCAAACTGTTAAGTGACCAGAGCCTACAGGAAGTAGTAAGTGTAATGGAGTGGCCATGCCAGGACAGGGTATGCAGGATGGACAGATGGGTGTGACTGGTGAGCAACAGTATGGAAGGACAACTTAGTCATTTATACATCTTACACAGTTTATGAAATGGCTGCAATTAGCAATTAAGACCCCTAAAGAAATCTTAATACAATTGCAGCACCTATATCTTTTCTCCACTAGTATCAATTGACAAATCCCAAAAGCAAAAGGACTTCAATTGAGTAAAACCTTGGTTTGCTCAGTTTAAAAGTTTCCACAGAAGATACCCAACCATGGCTCAATTTATAGGGCTGTCTGAATCCCAACACTGTGAGTTCAACACGTCTGAGATTGTATGGAGATGCTGGAGGCTGCTCCTCAGCATAGGGAAAAGTGTAGCTGGTATATCTGTTCATGTCAGCTTTGAATCATAAAAGAAAACAAGAAAAAAAAAAGAAAAAAGGGGGAATGGAGGAAAAGAGCAGTAGGGGAAAAAATAGATCAAATTAGGAAGCAGAACAGCAGCATTAAAACTCCCATTGTGGAACCTGTGTAGAGTGAATTCAGATAAAGCCAAACTCCACTGAAGCTATTATTTGACTCTCAGTGTGTTAGCAAAGTAGAATGAAAATCTGTATCATTTCAGTCCATTACAAGCTAGAAAACCATAATTTCAATTCTTATCCACCTCAGCAGAAGTGAATTAATAACAGAGGTAGCACAAACACCCCAGCACAGTCATCACTTCTGCCATCCACAGGCATGTGAAAAGCACCAGAGATTAATGATGCACAGATTTTTCTTCTGTGCACACACTATGTCTGTAAAGGACAGACCTTTTCAAGTGCATTAGTACAGCATGTGTGAATCTCTGCATGCACACTCTGCTTGTGTCCTTTGCAAATTTATCCGACCCTGAATTTGTTATTTAATCTGATTTTGTTATTTGACCTGAACTTGGTCAGTCAAGTAAGGAAGAGACAGACTTCACTATACCAGGGTTCCACAAAACCACATTTTTTTACCTAGCCTACTAATCATTTATATGGCAGGAAAAAAAAAAATCCCCACCATCCTCCCCCCTTCAAAAACCTCCCAACAAGTTAAGCCTTTATTTCATCAAAATTAAAAAAAAAAGAAAAAAAGAAAAAAAAGAAAAAAAAATCCTCCTACTCACACTGGAGAAGCTTTATATCTATTAGGAGCTCCAGAGTCAGAAGAATCACCACCAATACTACACAGGCTACCAGGAAACTGTTGAGACTTGCACTGAGCAAAAATACCTGCCACACAGCTGCTCGTCTCCCACAGCACGGTTTTAGCCAGTTAGATCTAAAGAAATAAAATTAAGGGGGGGAAAAAAAGAAAAGAAAAGAAGAAGAAGTGAAAAAGGAAAAGAGCTAAAGAACAGTGGACTCAAAATGACAAGTTCTGCTGTTATGGATACACTCAGCAATAATGCACAAAGGCTTTGCAAAACTCACTTTCACTGGTTTCTTTACCAAGGAAAACACTGCACAAAAACCTTCACCTGCAGATCCTGTGTCTCCCCAGCTCTGGAGTGTGCTGGTGTCCAAGCACCGTCAATGCACTGAGTAGTACAGCCCTAATTATCACACATTTCTACTTTCTTCCTGCTAGTTAGAAGCTAATGATGTTTCTTTAAGAATTTCTCTGTTATTGAACTTCATGGTCATGCACCTTTATCCCTGCTCTGCTCTGAGACAGGTCTGACCAGGGCTGCCAACCTGGTTTGCAACAATCAGTCCATGACATCATGGAAAAGAGTAATAGGAACTGGAAAAACACCAAGGAGTAAGCTGAGTGACTCCACAGCTACACTTAGAGTAGCAAAGGTGCACAGCCTGGCAAAGCATCAAGCCTCAGGCCAAGGCTCTCTGGCTTGGCTATTTGTCTAACTCATCAATCTGTTTGTGGATCAGGCCAAAAATTAATTTCCCAGAGTTTGGGTACCACAGTTTTGGGGACAGCATGCACCAGGGACTGCTCCCAAACCTACTTGAGATGAGGTCACCTTGTTGAGGAGGAAAAATAAGGTTTAGGCAGAATGAGAAAGGTATGAGGCAGCTCCAAGGACCAGAACTCCGAAGGGAAGGTGCCAAATCGAACGCTGCACCAGTGCTGTGCTAATGCAGATACACATTTACAAGGGGATTGCTAAAAAACGTTTTTCTTTTGGAAGTATTGGCAATAAGAACAACAGTAGCATGGACTTCAAAGACATAAAGCCCATCCTGATACTTCTTTTTTTTTCTCCTATCCCCCCCAGTTTCACTGTGATACAGTATCGTATCATTTCTCATCCTGGTGCTCTGCAATGTTCCTGTCCTGGCTCACCTCTGGAGGTTCCCATGGGATGCTTGTCTGACACTTCAGATTTCCAAAGCACTGCAAATACACATTAGGTAATGAAGAGCTGGCAGGATTTACTAACTAAGGTTTACTAAGCTGCCAGCACACAAATGTGGTGCAGTAACCCACTGTCCCAGCTGAAAGAGCAACACACAGGAATCACTGGTATACAAGAAGATACGATGACAGTGATCAATTCCAAACAAGCAGCTCTAGACTCAATAACTCATGTGACAATCAAACACTTAGGAAAACATCACAGAATGTTCTCTGAGGTACCCACACTCAGAAATGAGGGAGAAAGCAATGCTAAGCAGTGCTCAGAGACTTGACACTTTCAAGCAGCTTCTCAGCATTAAGCCTATCAACACTTGCAGTCAGATTGCCTGATTGCCTGGCTGAAAGACCTCCTCAACTGACTCTTAAGACTTCAGAGAAGATTTTACAAGTGCTACTATCAGCAACTTGCCCTTAGGTTAAACTTAGCAATGGCTTGTGCCTTAATACAGGATGCACTAGATTACAAATCAGTACTTTTTGACAGAATAAAAGGCATTGGGATAGGCCCTTTTTGCCAATTTGAGCTCTTTTTGGATTTCATTTTACATCATCTCAAAACAAGATAAATTGTTTTTACTGCAACTCTGATTCTGGGCTTATTTTTTCTTTTTCTTTTTAAATTTTTTTTTTTTTTTTTTTTTTTTTTTTTTTTTTG